GTCTTGGAGGGTGCAAGATGGGTCTTTGTTGCCAGTATGGTCCCTGAAATGCCAGTTTTCCATACTCACTCTCAGTTTGTGCATCTGTGAAATTGGGGCAGGTAACTCTCAAAGTGTCCTGGCTAGTTTCGGGGTGAGAACACGACGGCCGGCGAGGCGGGGACTTCCTCTCTCAGCCTTTCAGTTCATGCCTGCTCCATTTGGCCCCGAAATCCGGTCCGTGTCTCCAGGAGGATGGTGGGGACCTGCTGAGGCCCTGCCTGCAGGCACAGATTTCTGGAAGGGACACCCAGCACTCCCTCCTTCCCCCAAAGGCCGCTAGTGGGTGGAAGCTGCACCAGGCACCTACCTCCCTCTCTCCAGACCATTTGACCCTCAATACCTGCACACTTCCTGAGCAGCACAAGGTGCTGGTTTCCTCGCCACCTGATGCTTTGAGAATGTTCTCTTGGCCTTTCCGCGTTTCTGTCCAGGCTTCCTCCCTCTTTGCCGGCAGAATAAGGCAGTGGGAGGAATGATCTTTTCCACTGGGCAAACCCAGAGGGGGAGCAGCAGTAGGCTGGAGGTGAGGAAGCTGGAGAGGGGGTGAGGTTGAGGAGGAAGACCCTCTCTGGAGGTGCCAAGCTTTGGAGCTGAGGTGAACCTGGCTCTACCAGCGTGGGGACTCAGCTGGTCAGGTCCATGTCCAGTGGCCCACAACACCTGCACCCATGCCTCAGCCTCTTGGCCACCAGTCCAGCTCTACTCTTCTTGGCCATGCAGGAGAAGACAGAGAAGCACTTCCGTTTTGTTCCAGACTGCATTGGTTGGGATGGGTGGATGGGGGCGTCCTGGGGAGAGCCGTTGTGTATGTCTGCACAGTTTTTCATCCTCCATTCTCGGCTCCAGTTTCTGGGGAAGAAAAAATGCTCATGTTGCCATTTGGAGTGAAAGTTCATGAAGCTAGGGACTTGAAAAATCATTTCATCAGGAATTTTCAGGAGGTGGTCCAAGAGGGCGGGCAAACATTTTTAACTACACACACACACACACATACACACACACACACACACACACACACACGATTCACATCCAAAGGGAGGCTTTGGGGTCGAGCACTTATTTGCAAAACTCAGACTGCTTGTCCCAGGGGATCCAATTCCCCCGGACTAGTCCAGCAGTTTGAGTGCTCCAGGCTGCCTATACGCAGCACAGCGGGTGTGTGCACTCGCAGGTGGAAGTGACCACCCCGAGGGAGGGAGGGAAAGAGGGAGCAAGGGGCTGTGACCTTTGAATTCATTCCAGGAGCCTCCTGCAGAGAACCGGCCCCAGAGGGCAACTTTAAAAAATAGTTCTCTGAGTTGGGCACCTTGGAGGAGACCGGGTGGCCGGGCCTGAAACTAGTGGCGAGTGCGGAGGTGCAGGGGCGAACCGTGTCTCTGGAACGTCCAGGTCGTTATTTGCAACGGAGGGGGCCGGGTAGAGACAGAATCCCGACGCCTTCGCCTATAGAAGGTCATAGCGAATCTTCGTTGCGTTCATTCATTTGAATTTCTCTCCACTTGGGCTGAGGGGGCCTAACGCAGCTAGCCGGCTCCGGGAGAGGAAGGGCAAGGGAGGGAAGGGGAGGCGAACCGTGCGGGGGCCTGGCTCCACACCCCCCGCCGGGCCGCACTTTCCCCGTTGCAGCTGCGCCCGCCCTTGCCCGGCAAGGCTCGGGGCGAATTTTGTGTAGCGCATTTAAAAAGGAGGTTTGTTCAGGGGTCGCCCGAGGCGGTGGGAAGGTCCCTCAAGGCGCAGCCGCTGCTGCTGCCGCCACTAGCCCCATCTTAGCCAGCGCCGCGTCCTCGGCTCCTCAAGACCAATACGAACTCAATGAGAACCCATTAGGTTGGCAAGAGCGCTCAGCGCCCACGAGTGCCGCAGTCTCTGGCGCTGCCCAGCTACACCCGAGGTCGCCGCGCAAAGACGGAGCGCCGGTGGGTCAGCTTCCCTCCGGCAAGGAACTGGTGCGCCTGCGGACAGCGCCTGGAGAACCTCCCGGCAACGCCCGACCCTCGGAGCCTTGGGAGCAGTGTGGACCTTCCCACCTGGTCCACAGCTCCCCCAAACCACCTCCCTGCGACTCCTGAACTTGTCCCTAGGGGGTGGGGCTGGAGTGGCGGTGGCCGGGCTGTCCCTGGGCAGCCGTCTGGTTGGAGGCGGGCCGCCTGGGAGCTGGGAGAAAGCAGCAATTCATTCGTTTCCTGAAGGGCATCATTTGGGTGGCAGCTGTTACCCGCGAGGAAAGCCAGCCGCGTCCCCGACCCCAGTTCTGCCCTTTAACCCTAGCCAATCTGAGCCCGAGGGGCTGAGCGTCCAGGCTAGGGGCAGGCCCGCTGCTGACCAGCAACCCCTTAGGGTACGTAGGCGTCTCTCCCTTGCGGCCAGAGGTGTAGCGGTGCAGCTGAGCGACATCCTTGGGCGAGATCCCCAAGGCTCACGCACACGTAGTTCCAGTCTCAGCCTCAAGCCCGAGGCTTTCGTCGGAGGCAACAGGGTCCGAACGGAATAGAGGAGAGGTTACTTGGGGTTCAAAAAATTTATCAAGGATGGGCAGGGACCGCGACTCTGTGGTTAAGTTTTGGAGGCACTTGAACGTTAGCCACAAGGCCTGAGTTTAACAGAGAACAGCAGAGTGGAAACCGGGCAGTAAGTTTTATCTTTGCAAATTTCCCTCTGTCTTGTTGTCTTGTACAACTCCGGTCTTACTGGGCTTTTACTGCCCCTGGGTCTGTCTTCCTGAAATCTAACTGTCTCGTGTGATTTCCCCCACTGCTGGGCCGGAGTCCTGGGGTCCGGTAGCCCCCTGCGGACACAAAGCAGAGGCGGGGTTTCACCTCCCCTTTCTCCTTTAGTCATCTAGCCAGTTCCAGAGAGCCGGGGCGCGAGGGTCAGGGTCCTGCCGTTCTGCACGCTGGCCCCTGGCTTTCAGTCTCTGGAGTGGAGCCCAGGCTCAGTTCCGCGCGCTCCGGGATTGGGCCGCGCCGCTGGCCCCGGGCACGGGTGGAGGCGCGCACAGGTCCCTTGGCGCGGAGCGCGCCTCTTCAGAAAGCGCAGCCTTGGGGCCGGCACCGACGCGCAGGCTGGCGCTGGCGAGGTGCCGTGTCCTCTAGCGGCAAACTCCCGCAGTTCAGTTCGTTGGCGAGCGCTCACCCACGCCTAAGGGGTCTGGTCCGGAGACAGTGGACGCTCACATCCGAGTCCCACGGGGGTGGTGGTGGGTGGGTGGGTGTTGGGGAAGGGGGTGTCTCTCGGAAAGGATCCAGGGTCGGGGCAGGCCCTGTCTGTGCTGAGGCCGGGAGACGCGGGCGCAGTCGCTCGCACTGCGAGCAGCTGATTGTTTCGTCCACGGCAGATGGTCTTTGAGCACAGATTTGCATTCATTGTCTTCAAATCTGTTTGCGCGCGGGTGTTCGTTCTAGATTTCAGCAGCCGATCTACGCACAGAGCAGAATATAAAAGGAGAAGCAAGAAAATCATACCCAGTCAGCCGGGAGATTTTTTTTTTTTTAATAGGCACCTGGAACAGCGGCCTTCGCTGCAAGCTAAAAAGCCGTCTAGGGTTTCAGCCGCGCGGCCGAGCGGATACCAGCTCCGCGGCCTGAACGCACGGCGGCGGCGGGCAAAGTTTCCGCCGCTTTTTCGCGGGCCTCCCGCACGGGGGCTTCAGGAGCTGGGGCTGGGGGGCCCCCGGACTTGCGCCCTGGCCTGCGCCCTGGCCGCGGGCGCTTCCTCCTGCCCCGTTCTGTCCGCAGCCTCTTCTCCGCACCGGCGCGCTTCCCGTTCACGCCGCCCGGGGGGTGTTTTCCTGAGCTTCTTCGCCGGCCGCTTTCCGCCACGCAGTATTTATTTGAGCAACACTCGAGCCTCGCTCGTCCACACACCCTACCCCTTCCCATCCCCGCCTTCAGGCCTTGGAGCCCACCGTGCCCCTCAACCCGTCCCTTCTCAACAACTTGCAGAACGCTCGCAAAATCGGAGCATCTCTGTGGAACTCCAAGAAACTCGGGGTGTGTGTGTGTGTGTGTGTGTGTGTGTGTGTGTGTGTGTGTGTGTGTGTGTGTGTGTGTGTGTGTGTGTGTGTGTGTGTGTGTGTGTGTGTGTGTGTGTGTGTGTGTGTGTAGGGGGAGGAGGGAGGACATGTGCGCGAACACGGGGACGTGGGGCTCACACCCTGCGCGCCTTCGCCGACACGCGCACACACCCAACCCCGTGCAAGCTGACTGCAGGAAAACAAAAAACAACAAACACCTCCCGCGTCCGGAGGCGGGGTGTCCACCGCTGCCCCTCACTCGGGTTGGCAGGAGCCCCCGCTGCCCGGCCTCCGGACAGGGTTCTGGGGGAGCCCCCGGCCCCGCACCGCGGGCTCCGACAAGGACGCGGCGCCCGCAGCCGCCCGTCCCCTTTCACCTCCCGCACTCGCGGCCACGCCGAGCGCCGCGCGCGCCGCCGGGGGACGTGGGCCCGGCCTGCCCGGCGCCGGCCAATCCCGAGCGCGCATGCAAATGAGGCTCCTTATCGGGCCGCGGCCCCGCCTCCGGCTGGCCGGCCGTAGTAACCCATGGACGGGGCCGGCGCGCGGCCGCAGCCGGGCTCCGCCGCTCCACGCCGCGCTGCGCGTCCTCCCCTGCCCGCTCCACTGAGCCTGCCGGCGTTTTTTTTTTTTTTCAATTGGAGAGGTGGGGAGGAGCAGGGAGAGGGAGGGAGCCTGGAGGAAGGGGGAGAGATTAGGCAGCCATCAATCTCCTCCCGCTTCTCCCAGAACAGGTGATGCTTCTAAATTGTGACCACTTTGTGGAGGCAGCACTGCGGCTGGAAGGATGCGAGCGACCTAGGGCGCAGGGCCTGGGGCGGCAGATCTGAACTTTGCGAAGGACAAACCCCAAACTTTTGACTCCATCAGTCCGCGTCACGCGCGTGAAACCAAGGCCCGGGTCTTCTTCTTCTTCCCCCACCCCCTCTTAATTTCAAGAGAGACTCAAACTTCAGCACTTGGTCCCTTTTCTTGGATTGCTTGGAAGGAGACAGTGTGGTGGCAGCCGCTGGGAACTGTTGTGACCGTGTTGTTGTTGTAAACTCTTGATTTTAAAGCGACAGTCAAGGATCAGACTTTGTCAATGTTTGGGATTCAAGATACTTTAGGACGAGGACCAGCTCTGAAGGAGAAGTCGCTGGGCGCGGAGATGGATTCGGTGCGCTCCTGGGTCCGGAACGTCGGCGTGGTGGACGCCAACGTCGCGGCGCAGAGGTAACGAGGCGGCCGCGCAGGGACTGCGCTCTGTGCGAGGCGCTCCCCTGCGCGTTCCCGCCGCCCGACCCCTCGGCCTTTCCCTCTCGGTCCCCATCTGTCGCTGGGCTCTCCTCAGGCCGGCGGGTCGCGGCCCTCAGGGGCGCGTAAAGGGCCCGGCGGCGGTGCACACTGCCTCGGTCGCGTGTGCTTCTTCCTGGCTTCATCCCCGAAGGCCACTCTCGGGGACAAAACCTAAAGTAGTACGTCGCCAAGACGAGGCTCAGCCCCTGGCCCGGGGAGCCGGAGCGGTCTGGGCGGAGCGCGGGGAGTCCAAGCAGGGAGCCAGGGTAGCTGCTGAGCCCGGGGGTTCGTCACCGCGCCTACCCTCCCGCATCACCTCCGGCCGGGTTCCCAAGGACCGGGAGCTGGGGTGGCCAGAGGGCGGCGACGACAGGAGACTGAGAAGCGCGGGCGAGGGCCGAGCGGCTCTCCGGGAAGGAGAGGTGCAGGCAGCCCTGGAAGGGACTGCAGCAGGAGACTGACCCGCAGGCCAGACACACAGAGGCGGGGAGGGCGAGAGGCGAAGTCAGGGAGTCACCAAAGCAGAATGGCGAGAAGACGAGCCAGTGCGCCTGGCGGCCGCCGGCGGGGTGATCCCCCAAGTTCACTTTGTTCCCAGGCGTCCGCGCTGGGATCCTGGACAACGTATCCAGGGTGCTACCCACGGGGACATCTGTCTGATTCACATTCTGCCGCTTAGGGGCTGGAATTTTTGGCCTCCAAGAGGCAGACTTCTTTCCTTCCCGCAAAGAGCCCAGTCCTTCTCTCCCGAGCCCCTCCTCGCCACTGGACCTCCCGGCTGTTCTGTAAGTCCCGGCGTCGCACCGGGAAATTGCTGCTCTCCCAGGCAGGCCATGTCTCCAGGTGTCCCGGGTAGAGCGAACCCGGCGCCGCCGCCTCCCTCGGAGCAGAGGAAGCAGAAGTTGAAGCTCTCAGGGCCCGGGGCCGGCGGCGGTTCTTGCCCGTGGGCCAGAGCTCGGGGGACGCGGGTGCCCACGGGTAGACGGCCCCAAAAGCAGCGGGCGTTCGAGCGGCGGCGGCGCCTGCCAAGGTCTGGGTACAAGCTGAGCTACGAAGCTCGGTGAAGCCGGTAGCGTTACCAAGGCGTCCCAGCGGCGCACCTCCTTCAAGACATCTCCCCACTTTCCTCCCTTCCCGGAATCAAATAGTTTGTGAAAGTTGGCAAAACCATGCTGGCCGGGTCTGTGGTGTTGGTGCTGATGCTGGTGATGAGGTCCTGCCAAAATAACTACACTCTTGAAAAAGAGTGAAAGTGCTTGCCACTGGGACACAGGGCTGGACGACCCCCAGTGCCACGGGACAGCTCCTGCCACCTGTGCGGGCCTGCACTCCCGACTGGACGCGCAGCGCTAGTAAGCGGAGGTCTTTTTGGCTTCTAGGCGTCTCTAGTAGCTCGGGGGTGTGTGGGGAGTGAGAAGGGGGGACTGAGCGTCTCCAATGTGTGTGGTCCACGGTGACTTATGGTCCCCAGGGCTGGTCGAGGTCATTCCGCCCCAGGCTGTACGGGTCACAAGTTTTCGGAAAAGCGAGGGAACCCTGAGGGTAAGGCCAATAGCAACGAAATTTGGGTACTGGGCCTTCCTGCTCCCTCGTAGGGTGGAGGGGAGTGTTATGGGTAAGGGCTCCAGGACCAGAAATTCCAATGAAGTAAGAGGGTCACCCCTTAATGAACAGATGAGAAACGTAGGTCTCTAGTCAGTGGGCCCCATCCATGAGCAGTGGGGGAGAAAGACGACCGGAGCCCAGCGCGCTGGGGACGGCTCCAGGCCAAGGTCGACAGCCGGGTCCTGAGCTTTCTATTGAAGACACCAACAAGCGATTGGCTTCTCGGTCCGAGTGCTGGCGTTTCCTGGACACCTGGCCTTCAACGCTCACCGCTGTGGCCACCGGGACTCCCCTAAGGAGTTTTCACTTCTTCCTCCGCTTTGAAACAAGGCCCAGGGTGCAGGCTCCTGGCGCCACCTCCCTGACGTGGCCCCTGGCCCCCTCTCTGGGCGCTTTGGTAAAGTGGTTCTCTCTCTCTTCCCCTTGTCACTGTCCCCCTGTGTTTCTTCTTGCGCAGCGGGGTCGCCCTGTCCCGGGCTCATTTTGAGAAGCAGCCCCCTTCTAACTTGAGGAAATCCAACTTCTTTCATTTCGTCCTGGCGCTCTACGACAGGCAGGGGCAGCCGGTGGAGATCGAGCGCACGGCCTTCGTGGACTTTGTGGAAAACGACAAAGTAAGGGACTCCCCTTGCACTCCCCCACCCTGTAACACACACACTCTCTCTCTCTCTCTCCCTCTCTCCTTGGGAAGCACTAAAGATTCCATCTGTCACAGGCGACACTTTTCGGCTCGCATCATCAGGGATGATAAATTGAGGCTTCTCACCCCCAGCTCTCAATCAGCCGATTTCCCCGCCACCTCCTCCTGCCACCTGCCCCCTGGACCCTGCGCTGTAAGGAGCGCTCCTCTTGCTGTGGCAGTGAACTTCAGGGTCATTTGCCCAGCCAGATCACAGCGGCGGCGAAACACACTTGCTACCTTCCCAGATTAGAAAATATACCCAAAGCCTCTGCTGTCCCTCTTTGAGTTCCTGTTCTGTTAGTTTTGCACCTGCCAGAGCCCACGATGTAGCATGGATGAGTACTAAAGGGAACCGCACTATCCAGTTGTGGCTCCTAACTCAAACCGAAGTTGGAGGCTTGGATCTGGTTTCAAATGAAGCACACTCCACCTAAACCTGATGTGTGACCAAAACTGCACTTACCAGGAAACCTTAGATCAAGATCCCCCTTGACTCTCTGGCACTGGGTCACTGAGCCCGTGGTGCCTATGGTCCCTGTGGGGTGCTGGCCAGACAGCTGCCTTTTCAATTGCTCTGCTCCTTTCCCCTCTGCTCTAGGGCTTCCTAAGGATGGACAGACAGAGCTGGATGGGTTGGGTGGGGTATGTTCAAAGGCAGCCTTGGTGCTGTGACTGCTGATGGCTTCTCTAGGGTCCCACTCCTGAGGACAATTGTAAAGGGGACAAAGAGCTGGAGAAGGTCAAGTGTTCAAGAGACTTTGCAACTTTCAGAGGTGGCCAGGGCAGGCAGCTGCTGCGACTCCTTGACCTGCGGTTGGACAGGAGGAGATTGTTGGAGGGGTAGAAGGCAGCGGGAGGTGGTGTGAGGACTGTCATTTTTTTTTTCTATCCCCCTCATTTGGGGCTGAAAAAGAAAGGGAACTGGATGCTTTATGTCTTTTTAGGAACAAGGCAACGAGAAAACCAACAATGGCACCCACTACAAGTTACAGCTGCTCTACAGCAATGGTGAGTGCCGGCTGCCCAGTGCCGCAGTCAGTCCCCGTTCCTGTCTTGGACCTTGTGCGATCCTCTTCATCCTCTTCGGGAGGCTGGGAAGTTGGCTGCCTGGGAGTGGCCCAGCCTGGGTGCTGGGATTGCTGGCTGACTGGCTCTCCATCTTCGAAAGGGGAAATGGGAAGGGGTTGGGGTGCCTAGTAGGGGCTCCGAGACCCCTGACTCATGCGCTTTCTCTTCGGCCCCACAGGTGTTCGCACAGAGCAGGATCTCTATGTCAGGCTCATTGACTCGGTCACCAAGCAGGTGAGCCCCATCATCTGCCGCCGCCTGGCACTGATCTCACCTGTTTCTGATCCCGCCCACCCTTATTTCTCTGACACCCCCCCTGCAGCTTGATTTCTTGGGCCACACTAACACCCCGTTCTGTATCATTTTCATCATTCACTCTGGATTTGTTTTCTCTCTCACCGTTTGCCTTGTTCTGTTGACTTGGGGAGAGATGTTGGAGGGAGCGAGAGGTGAGCAAAATCATGGCAAAAAGAGACAGCAGTTTTTGGGAGATTTAGCAGTTATGCATTCCCAAACTTTTTTTTTTTTCCTGGCTAAGAACTCTGGTCTCAGTGGGGGTGGACTTCTCTGGGATGATTTCCCTTGGATTTACCTGGCAACCTGCTCTTGTTTTGTGCTGTGTGTTGGGACTCCTAAGCAGGTGGCAGTTAGTGAGATGGAAAGCCAGGGTCGGTGCAAGATCTAAAATTCCTTCTTTGTTTCTCCACTCCCTCTGGTATCTTCCCTTCCTGCGTCCACCTGCCTCACAGCCTATAGCATACGAGGGCCAGAATAAGAATCCAGAAATGTGCCGAGTTCTGTTGACGCACGAAGTAATGTGCAGGTAAGAGCCACACGGGTCTGGGAATTGGCTGGGAAGCCGCGCAGGTGAGCGGTGCCTGCAGGGTTGCGCGCGCCGAGAGCGGACTCAGCAGTGAGGGCTGCCAACGAGCCAGCGCATGCTGGCTCGGGCCCGTTGCACTAGCCCTCGCCTCTATCTCAAGCAGGTGGCTTAGGCAGATTCATTAGGACCAGGGAAGGAAGCCCGCAGACTCTCGCAATTCCAGCCTATGCACAGCCAGAGGTTCCCGGTGGCCTCGGGCTGCGTCTGCTCTCCGGCTCTATGCACCGCAGCGCAGGGAGGTGACAGGGCAGCCTCCGGTAGGGCCCTAGACGGCGGATTCTCACGCGCCGGCTGGCTGCGAGTGGAGGGTCAAGCGGGGCCACCACCTGTGGAGTCGCCGAGGCCAAGTCCTGGAACAAGTTGCAGTGTGGCTCAGGGACCACCGCGCGGTGAGCCGCTTGTGTTCCCGCCGCTGGCTGCGCCTTCGCACCTGTCGGTGCCGGGGATGCGGGTCTTCTGGTTATTTATTCACTCCGTGTGAAGTTGATTCGCCTAGGACTTCATGTTTCTGCAAAATTTCTAGAAGAAAGACCAAACGCAATTCCCAACAGGATGTGAGCGGCACGCGCGGGCGGTGGTGGGGGGACCAGAGCCACAACTGTACTCTGATAGGCACGCAAAGTTGCAGGTGACTGGTATTTCTGTACCTTTCCCATTTGCCTTCCAGAGACCAATCCCTTCCTTTTGAGTTCTGCCAGTGGCCCCTTTCTTCTGATTGATATGAAGAAAAACATGTTAGAAGTTCATACACACACTCACTCATTCTTTCATCAACTGTTTGAGTGTCCAACTTGGACTGTATATTTGGGGTGTGGGCAGTGGGATGCCACTTGCCAATAGGCTAAGGAAGCCAGCTCTGGCAAGAGAATGGTTATTTCACTGTAAAAAAGAAGCCAATCACAAATGTTCATTCTGTCCACATTTCTTCTTCTCAGCTCCCCCAGAATTTCTGGTTGAAGGGGATTCCTCAGTTTTCCTTGCACTGCCCTTGCTTCAGCCTCAGGTCTCCCAATGCTATTCCTGCTGGTGCTGGTAATTGCAGACCCTCTAATTTAGCATGGGCTGTTTTATGGGTCACTCCCTGAAGCTCTGTTTCCCTCGCCAACCCAGTTAGGAAGAAATCATAACAATCAGACATGTTTGTTTTGGTTTTGACCCCATATTAGAAAAAAAACACGCTTGCCAAATGCCAAGTTCAGCTCAGCCGAAGGCTTCAAGGGAGGGGCGTTGAGGGTTCCGTGGCTGGATAGCAGAATGGGGCTTCGGGCCACGGACTCAGGAGATAGAGGCTGTGTTATCCTGAGGCTCCTACAAAGGCTTGTTCAGAAAGAAAATACAGTTCCAAGATGGACTTGCCTGCTGTATCTTGATTAAATAGTCAGAATGCTGTGATTTGGTTATCTAAGTGAAGGAAAGTTTAAAAATTTCTCTCTACACTTATAAATGTCTTAGAAGAAAACAAACAAAACCCCTTGTCTAATGAATTTTACCTATCACTTTAAATAATATTTTCGAACCCATCCAGCTGTAGTTAAGGCTGACATTTTTATTTTTAAGTCCCATCAAATCCTTCTCATTTTATGCTGTTTAAGTAGCAGCATCAATTTTTAAAGCCTCTAGTTTAGTCTGCATTAGTAACACAATATAAAAATTTAATGTACTGTAACTTCTCCATGTTGGAGACCAGGGAAGATGCACAGCTCTTTTCTACCCAAACTGGAATTTAAAACAAGTATTAATCATGGACAAATAAATGATCCATTGGATGGGTACTTCCTGGGGTGTGTGTGTGTGTGTGAGAGAGAGAGACAGACAGATAGACAGACAGACACACACACACGGGGTATGAAATAGATCCTGTCAAACATTGGATGCATCTGAAAGGGAGATTTTTACTCCATCTTTCAGAGCTGGTGATTCCCCTGGAAGAGGGGAGATTCCTTGTTCCACATTTTAAGAGTCAGTTCTGGCAATCAAGGAGAGGTGAAACAGATACCCTTTTCCAACAGTTATTGCATGCACTTAGTTTCATTTGCATGATGTTATTCGCCATACCTGGGTACTCCCATGAATGGTTTTTATGTTCTGTAATCTTTATTAAAAGGCTCCTAAATGGGTATTTAGTTTTGAGAGAGGAATAAAGCATAGGGACAAAAATCAGTCTGTAGGAATAACTTTTTTCTCCCTTCCCCAGTGGGTCTCTGATCCCCTCTCTCCTGCTTTAGTTCATTTTGCCAATTATTAGCAAGGAGAAATCTAGTTGTTATGTCGCTGCCAGCCACCTCTATGCCCTCAATGCTCAGAGGGTTAAAAGATATTATAATTTGAACAGAAGTCGTCTCAAGGCCTACAGCTGGCTAATAACAGAGTTGTATTGAGCGCGAGCAAACCCCACAGCTGTGACTTTTCGCCACAAGGCGCAGGCTAGACAGGGCCCTAATCAGATGGGCCAGCCGGGCAGTGGGGCCAGTGTCTTTATCGGCCAGATGGTGTGAATTTAGACACTTTTGTTATGCAATCGCAGGGAGGAGTTGGGGAGAAGAAAACAAAACAAAAGCCACCATGCTGTGCGCTTATTTGAGTTTGAAATTAGAGACAGATTTTTGAAAGTTGAGGGTTGAATTTTAAAATTGGTATTGAAGGGGAAGGGGACACATTTAGCTTGTCTTGAGCAGGAGTTGGCCGGACATGCCCTAGCTAATGCGAGGGCTTTTATTTCTTTTTAAATTTCCCTAGTCATCTTTTATACTCTTTATTTTTCTGGAAAAAAAAAAGCAGGTAAAATTCAGGATTGTGATAAGATTTCTCATATCTTCTCCCCCCATCCCCCACCCCCGCCTCAATTGTCTTGTTCTTTCTCGTTCCCTCCTTAAAGACTCCGTGTGGAGGAGGGAGAATGCAAGAGGCCTGTGAGCCAATTGCGAGGGTTTCAGGTGGAACTTATTCTCCAAATAAAAGTGCTCGAGTTTAAGTAGCCCAACCGAGCCGGACGGAGATGCAGAGAAGTAGCTTTCATTTTCTACAGGAGAAGGAGAGCATCTGGAAGCCTCTTGGCTTACTGCTAAGTTTAATTTCCTCTTTGTTTTAGAATCTCCCCCCCCCCCCCCCATCTTTCCCTACTTAAAGCCCCTCTCAGTCCCTTATTGGAAACTCCAGACTTTGAAACTTGGTTTGGGGGAAAGAGCCCTTCAAGCCTTGTAACCACAGTAGCTGAACTTGAAGCTGGTCGCCCAGCCTTTGTCTGTACAGCAGAGGGGAGGAGGAAGAGCGTTTGTCGACTGAGTAAGTCGGGGTCCCTATTCTTCAGGGTCAGCTTCGCATGTTGTTTGGGGAGGCTGGGTGTGTATTTGGTGTTCCGCTTCCCTTTGTTGGTTGGTAGGACTGTTGCTGGCATGAGGACTAAATGTTGAAATAAAACAAAAAATGAAAAACAGCTAGAATCTACAAATGAGCATTTTTAAAAAAAGATGAAAAAGAATTTTCTTTGGCTAACTTTTAAAGACTCAGAAATGTTAAGGGATCAAATGAGGCAAATACAACCAACTGCTATTATTTTTCTACCTTTAATATTACAGTTCAACAGTTAAGTGACTGTGTTTCCTATCTTGTCTGGGCTGAATGTTAACATTGGGGATTACATTTAAATATGTCACTGTTGGAAACTAGGGTTATCGGGTCCTAAAGTTCCTTTGCATTTTTCTTGGGTCATCATTTCTTTCCCCACACTGGCACCAGGCTTACATTTTTATCTGTTTTTCTTTTCCTCCAGAGCAAATCCCCATGGAAAGCAGCTGAGTTGAGCTGAGCAATTTTGCAAACTTTCTCAGCCTCCTCAGTCAGAATCATTTCTACCCAAACTAAACAGATTGGCACAATCTGCCAGTATGTGCTCTTGTAATTAAATTGTACCCAGCATCTCGCACATGTTTGGGGTTGGGTAGACATGCTAGTGATGTCGAGGAAGCATCTAACGTGAAGTCTTTGGGTAACTAGCAGGCTGTGTGCGTCTTTTAAAATTGTGCTGCTAAGCAAAGTGGTTGGCTTGAGCTGCAAAGGTGTTTCGCTTGATGTAACAGGTGAGGTGGGAGGGGAGCAAGTGGGTGGGGGTAGGGAGCTAGGAAGAGAGGCAGGGCTGGTGGGAGTGCAGCTGGCCGTACTTTCATTGGTGTTAATCTTGTCATAGATTGAAAGTTGAAAAGTTAAGACTTAATATGATTTCAAAGTCCAAATATTATTTCAGGAAGTCCCAGTGGCCAACTCTGGTATTAAAGTTAAGACAATTCTTCTTATGCTTCCTACTAATTTGATTAAATTTCTTAAAAATCTCGTGCTCATTTGGTGAAAATGTTCTAGCATTTTCTCCAGTGTATTTTCCTTTCTAAAGATGGGAGAATTGTTCACCAAGTGACTATGACATCCGTGAGTGAAAGAGATGAGCTTTAAGAGTTTTAAAGTGTTTGTTTTTTGTGTTTGATTCTATGAGCAGAAGTGAGGGGTTTTCTGAGGGCCACAGAATAATTTTAGAACTGGTACCATCTAGGCCTTGCACTCGATGGCTCATCCCTTTTCTCCTGTAGGATCATCATTTTGGAAGGATGCTCATGGAATCCTGTAGCCTCCTGAATTTAAACTGAGAAGGGACTCTAGAGAGAATCCAACCCAGTACTTTAATTTTATATGGAGGAGAGGTACAGCCCAGAGGGGTTAAAGAAATTTGACTAAATTCGTGCAGCTGGTTAGTGATGAGTTAGACGCCAGAGCGCTGATTCCCAGTTCAGCCATGTTTCTCTGGCACCACATCAATCTTAAGCTACAGAGAAACTGCCGAGGGAAGGGCAGGGTTCATAGAGTTTGCTTATTGTTAAACATTTATTAGACATATTCTCCAACCACTATGGAAGATAATGATTTTCTTACAAACTATGTCAAGGCTGCACCCTTAATCAACTACAGTTGATAGTGGACTGTGCACTTAAAATGACCTAAGAGGGCTTCAGTGGTGTGTGGGCCTGGCAAGTGGCAGAGAGGCACCATGGTGCTTGTGTCAGGTGGGTGGGGGTACCTCAAGTTTCTTTTGCCCTTCTCAGTTTGTCTCCATATTTGCAACACATCCTTTTGGACAGGAGTGTTTTGCTATCTGCTCTAGTCTTTCTGTTTGTTTCTGGTAGAAAGGTGCTGGGTAATGCTGTTTATTTCTTCTTTGTCATTAGCACCTCTCCCCCTCCTCCTTGTCAGTATTTCCCCACCCTAGGTGTCTACCCAGCACCTAGCCAGGAGGTTGCCTTGGGACGTGGACTTGTCAGGATTAGGGACTACATGCAATCAAATCCCGTTTCTTTCCCAGGTGTGGTGAAAATTACTGGAGAAATCATTTTACAGTTCCCTACCTCATTTTCTTCCCATTTTGAAATATACACCATGATGCTGGTCTTCCTCCTTCATGTTTGGAGAATGATGGAAATGAGTAAATGAATAAATGTTTATAAACTATGCTGAATTCTCTGGAGAAACATGCTATGTAAATAAGGTTTATAATAATGCAGGCAGCTCCTTGTGGTCTATTTTATACATTTGCCATCTCCCACCCCTCTCTCCTTAAATACTTTTTTTGCAACACAAAGATCTAAAATTAAAGAATGATCAAGTCATTGACTACTAAGCTGGAAGTAACCTCGTAGATCTTAAACTCCAGCTGTCTGTGGTTCAGGTTGCAGAGATGGCCCTTGGGAAAGCTGAGGTGTGCTGGGTGGTCATGAGTGGTGCTGATGTGTGTGTAGGTCATGGAGTGAAAATTTGAACGTGTGTATTTTGGCTTGACTCAGTAAATCTCTTCCTTTTTACAAAAGGAAAACACGGTGCAGATTCTGCCCTCAAGCAGTTGGTAGTTGAGAGGCTCCCCTGGACACAGTTTGCTTTTTGTGACCATTCTGACAGCGTGTACCCTTGGTATTACCTTGACTTAACACATTTTCTATGTACTCTTTTGGCTGCTTCCGGAACTACAGTCGCTGCTGTGAAAAGAAAAGCTGCGGAAACCGAAATGAGACGCCTTCAGACCCAGTCATCATCGACAGGTAGGGGGAAACATCTCTGGGGTCTTGTCAGTGTCTTTCCTTCATGAATTTCAGCTGAGCATTGGTGGCTCGTGCTTTGCTGTGAGATTGGCTTCTTCTCCAGGGTACTAGGATCACTTCTTAAGGGTTTTCTAGTGCTGGCTGGCCTTTCCTGGAAGGAACGAGAACCTGCCTTGTAGAACCTGTGTCTTTGAAGCTGGACTTTCCACCAGGTGTGCTAAGGTCAGCTTATTGGGGTGGTGGGGCGTGAATGATACAGGAGGTGAAGCCTACTGCAAATCCTGCCTGGTGGGGTCCGCCCTCAGTTTCTTGGGTGCAGCTGGTGTGGCCTGAGGCAGGTGGCTCAGCCTTGACCCGTCTGTGGTTGCTGCACAGGATTCACATGGCGTGGGGGTGGTGACAGGCCCTCCATTGCGCTGGGGCAGATTCCCTCTTACCGCCTGGGTGTGCCCTGTGGGTTCTGTGCTGCGTTTGGAGCAGAAGAGTGTCTTTGGGACAAGATGCTAATTCGCTGAAATGTGATTTAAGCATCCTCAGCTGTCTGTTTGTGTGATTGGAAACAGAACTTACAAACCAACAAAGAAATACCAAATTAACTTCCAGCAATCATGTAATTTTTAAGAAACCCCATATTCCCACCCCTAATTTTTTCTCTTTCGTTAAAAAACGGAGTAATTCCCTGTTGCTTCTTTCTTTGGGTTTTTGTGTTTCTAGCCAGGTCCTGAAATGGATTGGAGAGACCACAGTCTCCAAAGTTGTTATTCCAATATTCCAATGAATTCTCAGCTGGGAGAATGGAACCTCTGGCATCCTTCCCAGAAAGCTAGCTTGGTTTCTTCATGGAAAGTAAAGTATAGGCCTAGGAATCGAGGAGGTTAGAATTCTGATCCTGACCTAGCTGCTGACCTGGGATGAAGCACTCTACATCTCCATTCTCCAGATGTGTGGTGATGGGTGGGAGGGCGCTGCCTGCTACTCTGGGCTTCAGGAGGCCTCTAATATGTCATGACCGGAAGCAAATAGTGTTCTCTGCGATGCCTGGGGACAAGAAGACAGTTAGAGGGTGTCTGTTACTTGTGTACCAATGGTGCCTTTGCCATTTTATCAGGTTCCAGTGAGCTGGGGGAGTTCTTTGAGTTTCTTCAGCATTTTTGGAAGTGAGGTCACTCTGCAGGAGTGAGCCATTGGCTCCTTTTATACATGCTGGCCTGATTGATACCCCTGCGCTTGCGCAGCTGACCGTGGCAGAGCTTGTGCTAGAGCCCCGTGGTCCTTACTTCTAAGGCCTTATCCGTGCACTTCTAGAATGCTGTCTGTCTGAACAGATGAGGTGGGTCTGCTGGTTGCACATGGCAGGATCTCCTTGCATTTCAGGGTGCACATGGGGCTCTGCTGGGGAAACTGGATACATGAGAGGCCAGCCTGGACCCGAGTCCTTTGCTTTCTGTTGTGTAGACTGAGCTCCCTAGTCTTCTAGCCATTTTCACGAACGTGAGCTCCTCTTTCAAGAAGGTACTCTTCCCTCATGCCTGTTACATCTTTTCTTGTCATAAACACCCCATAAACCAGCTTTAGAAATGTTTGCCAACCCGTAAATGCTAACCTGCACATTACATCCACACACACAGCCTAACGACATGGTGCTTAGCAGCGGTGCTTAACCTTAAAGTACTACAAGTCGCTTGCATCTGTGGATAAAGCTGAGTATGTGTGTGCTTTCTTCCTGTGCTGTACACATGTTGCATGTAGAAAAGAGTCATTCTGCAGCTGTGAGAATATTGTCATATTGATACCATCACAGTTTATGCTAGGAAGCTTTTAATTCTTCTGAGAACAACAGTTGTATCTGGGCTTCATTTGATGGAGTCTTACATGACTCTGGCATTTGTTTTTACCATCCTAGGTACAATAAAGCAGCCAATTGATGTTGTCTGCATCATTTGAAATATGCATTACTTCCGAAATGTTGCCTGTCTGCACATGGAGACACCCATACCAAAGGGTGCCGTAAATTGACAGCACTGGGTTTTAAGGGAACCCGTTTTTATTATAAACAGATGCATTTGTTTGGCTTCATCACTGAAGGGCTTTGTTTGAAGATACTGTTTCTTCATCACAGCCTTGTCTTACTGCTTTTGAGCTTACCTTATTGCCTTCGTGCTGTCATTTTCAGAAGTAAAGACACAGGAATTCAGGTTTCCTTTTGCTCAAGTTGGAAAAGGTGCTTAGTGTTATGCGGAGGTGAGCTGTGCATCTGGTTTGGGGTGCAGTATCTGCCAGCTTGGAAGTGTCCGGTTTCCTGACAAGCACCGAGTGAGTGCAGAGGGCCCTGTATCGTTGCCCTTGTTCCTATAATGCCAACTAATGATCTTCTCCCCCTTGTTGCCCAGCCTTCCCAAATTTTACACAGACTTTCTTGAGTTTTCTCATGCAACAGGCCACCTCTTTTGTGGCCTAAGGGAAATCTGTTTAGTTCTTGACTGGCATGTTTGTTCCTTGGTGAAACTAGGGTGATGCAATGACATGCCTCTCAAGTGTGAAGCATAGCATTGCTGTATTTGTGATTCCATTTTTTAAAAATCAAAGATGTAAAGGATTAAGAAAGAATTCTCATCTCAGGCATGCTCTGCATGTCATCAGTGGCAAGTCAGTTTTTGATTGGTATAGGTGTATGCATTATCACATTTGCTGGAGAGACTTCAGCTCAAACACACACGGAAAAAAACCACTTGATCTTCTAGTCAGCCCTTGTGATAGTCAATTTCCAGTGGACTGGTTAAAAAAAGGAAAGGCACTTAGAGGCAGATGTTGTGGCACAGTGGTTTAGGCCATTGCTTGTGATGCAGAATTCCATGTCTCAGTGCCAGTTTGAATCTTGGATGAGCCACTTCTGATCCAGCTTCCTCCTAAAGTATCCTCAGGGACAGCAGGCGATGGCTCAAGTGCTTGAGTCCCTGCCACTTACATGGAACACCTGGGTGGAATTCCAGGCTCCAGGTTTCAGCCTTGTCTGACCCTGGCTACTGTGGGCATTTGGTACATGAACCTGAATCACAGAGATGAAAATAAATAGACATTAAATAGAAAGATTTCATTACCCTGTAACTCCTTAATTGTAAACCATTGTATTTTACAATAAGGGATTTCCCCCATGAGGGACTTCATTCTTCATTTCCTAAAAATTGGCCCCAAATCAAAGATGTGATTTTTTTTTTTTCTCTGTTAGATGACGTACTGCCTTGATATCTCCAGAAACATTAGCTGACTTGTCCACAAGCTTTGGTAGCTTGTTGGGCACTATGCCTCTCTTGGAAAAGCAGGCCAACACGCAGCACGGAGATCTGCTCTGTCAGGAGCTCTCAGCAGCGCCTTGCTCCTATATGAAAGACATGTATGAGCGCAGGCCAGGGGCAGGACTTTGATTTTGAAGATAAAAAGCAAAGGTTCCACTTGACAAAACCAAATCAGAACCCAGCAAAACAAAACCACCAAGATAACACCAGCCTTCTGGTGGTCTCCAGCCTGTCAGTGAAAATCCGTGTGGTACACAGAAGCTCAAGCTGATTCACAAGTGTGGGTTTGGAAGGAAGCTCCAATTCCCACTGGTTTGTCATGGGCTGTGCTGTCTTCAAACTCTCTTCTTTCCAAGAAACTCGGGAATACCCATGGAGTCTCCAGGACTCAGGATGACTTAGTGGCCTAGGAAAGAGAGGCTAAGGGCCAGTTTCACTGGTGTGGGAGCAGAAAGAAGAGTCTATAATTTCTATCTCATGGACAGTCAGATGAGTAGAGAAGAAGGTAGGCCCCCTTCTTACCTCTGTAGGGTGCCTCTGCCCACGTACATCCTTGTAGGGAGTTTTCCTGTGAAAAGAGCAGGTCCAATCTATTCCTCACTATCTTTAATTTGGGGATCTTGAGTATTTCAGAGTTCTGTCCTGAGAAGACTATTTCAAGAGTTGATTTTTTTTTTGAAGCAGAACAAATAACAGAATGACCGTCATTCAAAAGTTTCACTCAAAAATATCTGGTTTAGTTGTCTACAAGTGATTTCCCTGACACTATTTTGTATTTTCTTAAATTTCTAACTGACAACCTATGTACAATATAGAACATGTCATCTTAAACATTCGCTAACATTTTTGCATTTGTTTGAAAGGCTGTGTGACACACAAGAAGTTAGAGCCATCTGCCTTCTGTTAACTCAATCACTAAGTGTCCATAACAACTGGAGCTGGATTGTGTTGAAGCCAGGATCCTGGAAGTCAATACGGACCTCCTGTGTGAATGGCAGGAACTCACACACTTGAGGCATAACCTGCTACCTTCCAGGGTGGGCATTATCAGGAGGCAGAACTGGAAGGAAAGGTGGGGCTTGAACCCAGGCACTCCAATATGAAACGCAGGTATCTTTAGCAGTGTCTTAACGTGCCACACTACAATGCTTGCCCCACCTTAATCATTTTGAAGTGTGTGGCTCAATGGCATTAAGTATATTCACATATTTGAGCTCCCATTGCCACCCACCAGTCATGGCACTTTTCCATTTTACATTTTGATATCCATCAAAGGACTTCCACCGTCTCCTCCCTTTAGTGTCTTGCAACGCCCATTCAATTTCTGTCTCAATGACTTTGATTTGTCCAGGTAGTGTACTTAAGTGGAATCGTACCCTCTTGTCCTTTGGCTGCAAGCTTATTTCACAGGGCGTGGTGTCCTCTAGGTTCCTCTGGTGGAGCCTGTGTTGGGATTTCCTTCCTTTTTCAAGGCTGAGTTAGATTCTGCTGTGTGTGCTCACAGAACCCACGTTCTGCTCTCTGCTCATGTGGTGATGCTATGGGTGGCTTTCACCTTTTGCCTGTTGGAACCAATGCTGCTGGGAGTATGGATATACAAAGGGTCTGTTTAAGTTCTTCCTTCCAGTTGTTTGGGGGATACACCCACAGTGGAATTGCTGAATTACATAATAATTCTTTGGTCAATCTTCTGAGGATCTGAAATAC